CAAAAAACAGGACTATGTCCCAACACCTTGCTGCCATTCAATATTTAGGATGACATGGAGCAATTCAGATTGTCTACATGTTTTTCCTATAAGGTGTTTCAGAGAAGTAGAACCAGCTGCAACTGTCTGCCAGGACTGTCCTGCTTTCTCTTTATTGATTGAAGAGAGGAGCAACATCTGGCTAGGTCCTGAAGAGGTGTTTCCATCCTGAGTGTGCCTGCCCTGAGTGGGTACACAAAGCCACCTGAGGGCCTGAAATCCAGGGTCTGGACACAGGTCATTTAAAATTGTGCTATAAGCATTTAGAGACCAAAAATCCAAAGATGTTAACACAGAAGAAAACACCCCTTCCTGTTCACCATTCCTCCTTTGCTTCTCCTCCCTATTCCCAGTTAGCTGAGCCTGGAAAAACACAAACTGCTAATTTCTCACTCCCATATGCTAAAACCATTCAAGAAGTTCAGGGCAAACAGCTCCTAGGGTTATAATCCAATATTTTTAAGTCATCATTGCTACTGCAAGGGGGGAGAATTGTTTTTCAAGTCCAGTAGTATTTCTTATCACAGGTAACCAAGGCCATTCAAAGACCTTTTGGAATAATGCTACAGGAAGGGCATTATCACACACTGAGGGCAAAGTCTGGCATGTCTGAAGGTTTAGGTAAGCAAGAGGAAGGTGATGATAATGAACAACAACTTGTGGTTCAGTGGGTCCATCTCAGTACTGCTGGTGTTCTGCTGAATCAGGAGTTGACTGTGTGGCCCCTTTTCCTCATTGCGTTTTGTGTGGACAGAAAAAAAAGAAAAATCACTTCAATTTCTGGAGCCTTCTGGACCCTTAGGAGCTCGGTGGGCAGTGCGAGAGTAGCACAGTACCAGGGACACTGCGATGCCCTTGGTGGTTGTGCCCTCTCTGCAGGGCCCACGCAGGGAGCCCGGTGTGTCAGGGACCCAGCAGGGCTCTGCTGCCTCACTGCTGAAACGGGCTGTAAAGGTGCCCCCATCTGCAACACATCTGCCACTGGCAGAGAAACATTTCATTACGGCACAATATATTCTGTCCAATACCTGTAGCCCTAATGCAGAGCAGGTATTGAAAACAGCTGTGCCACTACTTCAGCGCTGAAACGGATATTTTTGTTTGGCATGTGGAAGTGATATTCATTAAGGGTGGACCCCCCTTTGAAGTCTGCGTGGTTAAACTCAGTGCCTAAGTATCAGGAATCCTGCACTGGTAGTGGAATCGTATCTTCATAACCACATGAAGCAGCAGCAGCCATGGAAGAGCCACTTAGTAGTTTCAGATGCTGAAATGATCTTTTGGGGACTGCCTACTGTATATTTATGTGACGTTTAAGTTCCCCCTTAGGGATTTAGAAAATCAGTTTATCCCTGCTCTGCAGTAGAACTCTGCAGAGACAAGAAGCAATCTGAGGTGAGAGAAGGCTTGTGAGATTAATATTTAAACAGGTATTCTCAAATAATCAGATCATACAAACCAAGCGTCTAAATTTAAAGTCAAGTGCAAGACTCGTGGAAATACATCAACATGATTGCACTGAAAAGAACTGCCCAAAGAAGCTCTGTTTGTTCCTCAGCAGCAAAACTGAAAGCAAACGGTCATGGTGAGAAGCCTGAAACTTCTTAAGGCCCCTTTCCTTAGAGTCAGATTTCTTAGGGAATAGAAACCCTCTCAGTTACAACTATACCTGACAGCTCTCAGAACATCTGCTACTTCTATACACTACAGAAGAGCAATGAATTTCCCCCAGCGCTGTGAAAACCTGAAGGTTGAAGTTAAGCAACTTCAAGTCACTGAAGCTTTTATCAAAAGGGGTAAGATAAGGCAAGATTCTCTCAGCTCAGAGCAGGAGAGACAGGTTGCCCAGCTGTGTACTGTGGACAATCTCCCCTTTAATGCTTACCGAGTTCTTTGCTCCCAGTTCCAGGTTATCTTTGATATTTGGAGATGACTGAAACCAGTGGACGTTATCAAGAAGATTGCCAGTACCAGAAATGATCAACTAAAATAACACTTTTTCCACCCTTTCCCTCCACCATCCCTTCTCCACGAAAACACACCTTACCAAAGTCCACTGCAGACGAGAATTGCTTCTTCTAAGTAGCATGCAATAAAAAAAAAAAAAACATATTTTGAGATTAAGATAATTGAAAACATCCTTTGCTTTTACTGTACTCATATGGGACAACATCTAGGTTTAGAATAACAGTTCTCATAACAGTTAGAAAATCTTGAAAGTAAAGGACTAAGACAAGAGAGAAGTTCAGCCTGGGAAGCTGAAAATCATTTGTGGTTTTGGGATTTAAAATGCAATTTTATAGACCAAACTATAGTATTTAAAATGTGAAACCTATAGAAATATCACAATAGAAAACATGATTTATGCTTTAAAAAGTAATGGTTTATGTAAATAAAATGCCAGAAAAAAAATTTAAAAAGTATTTTTGTATAAAACTAAATTGTTGGTCAATTTTCATTGAGTTTACAGATGAACAGTAAACATATAGTAAAGACGGTAGACTGCACTGATGAAAGAGTCTCAATTTCTCCTCCATGAAGCAAGACTAAATTGTGAGAGGCAATACACAGACCTCAGCTACCAAGTAAAGTCTCAGCAGACCTCTGAGTCTCTGCAACAAAGCTGCCTTGCTGAACTCCATTTGAAGTCTTAATAAATAAGAGGAAGAACACGTCCTTGAAGTATATTGCTTAGAAGACACAAAGAAAAACACTAGCCCGATCAGTTGTAAGATTTTTATTATAAAATTATTTATATCGCTACATAGCAGTAAAAGTCTTAAAACTAGAGCTTTATTTTCAGGAATTTTTTAAAAAAGTAATTGCTGAAAAAGGCACTGTGTTCATCTAGGTAGACAGCCCTTAAGTAACTTTTCACTATTAAGAGATATTCCACATGGGTTTCTTAGGTGCTACGCACCTCCCAATGTCTGCACCGTTACAGTGTTCTGAACACACCACTTCAGAAGTTACACTTATCCAGAAAGCGTCTATCGGCCAGCACTACAAGCGCCATTACAGACTTGTGCTTACAGCACCTCTGTGCTTCAGCTGCTTTGAAATACAAGTTACAGCTCCCACCTGGAGTAGCTGAAGCGATATTACAGACACATAATATGTCATGAGATCACGACTCATGTTCAAGCATAACCGAGCATAAAGAAAGAGGTATGATTTGTGTTTACTTAACAACAACGACTACCTAGGTATGTTTTTGTGACCTTGTATTCAATACAAAATCAACAAAATATTCAAGTATATTATGGCAGTGAAGGCAATTTTTGCACACTTGTATTTTCTAGAAAGAGATATTTCATTTATATCATCCATTTCGTTCACTGAGTTGAGCTCAGAGATAAATAATCTGGTGACTTTTGGTGATCACAGTAGGATAAATGGGCCTCCATGCAGTACTTCAGTCATATGCTCAGTATTTAAACAAAAATGCTTCTAAACTTAAGTTTTGAGAACAAGTGAAGCATATCAGAATGCTATTTCATTTTTTAACCAAACAAAATCTACCCCAATAGGACTGCTAGAATAAAAACATAATTCTAGTTTTCTCTTGTTGCTAATAACAATTACATTTGATATTCACAGTAGAGTATGGAGTGGTTTTCTACCAAACACATGTGACTTGCTTTAGAAAGCTGTCATACAAGTGGGCAGAATGCTTTATATTTGTATTTATAAATGCTGTATTTGGAGCCTTTGCCAAGGATCATAAACACTTAAGATAATGATGCTGATAAGTCAAAAGGTTTTCAAGTAAAAATACACATCTCTGATGAACTTTGACTGGCCAGCTTGGCAATTCCAAATACTAAACTTTCACCCTGTTTTTAGGTTTACCTCACTTATGAGGGGAAAATTTCACAGAAAAGAAAAAAAAGGGGGGGGGGCAGGGAAAATGAAGCTCATGGAGAATGGAATATTTTCCCCACAGCTCTTTCCTACTGACACTCTTCCTGTGGCCATTCCCCTATATTTTGCTATTCATACAAGTTACTTGACTTTTTTCATTACTGTTCATATTTTAAACCTTTTCAATTCCTAAACACTTTCCATTGCAAGGAATGGTTCTTACAAGAGAATCCTATTTCTCCACCCTTCTTTCTGAAAACCCTTCAGAGAGCTTTAGTGCTCATTACAGCTGTCAGGTTTCAGAATCTCCAAGTACACCTTTGAGCTAAAGTGTGGCCCAATACTAATATGGCAAAGTTGTGGTTCAGGTTTTGCTTCTTCATAAAATCCAAGAACCTACCCACGTGTTCTAGTCTTTGGATTTTGGTTTGGTTTACTGAGCCACTAATTCTCTAACACCATGACAAAAAGAAAGAATCACTTTTTTAAACAGTTTCCCATGCCATTTTTACACAAGACATATCAAGACCTTTCAGTTCCACTTGCTGATACAACGCCAAGTGCTATTTCATTTCTTCCCTAAGGTATCTTAGGCACAGGAGCCTTACCCTGCTACTTCTTCCACGAACAGCAATAACTCAGAGCAAGGCATCACATAAGAACTTCTACAGGAATACAGGGGTTTTAACTTGTTTTGGTTTTTAAGTGGGATTAATGGTACCCCTCTTTTACAGGGAAGATACTGTCTCCCCTCCTGGCAAGGTCTCCCTCCCTCAGCCAGGAGCCCCTTGTATGCTCTTTGTATCTTGCTGCCAGCCTGCGACGTTAAGAGGATCTTTTCCCAATCTTATAAAGACAGTTTGAAAGAAGAGGCGCACCTACCAACCTGACGAGTTCTGTAATGAGATGCTGATAACTAGTCTAGTAGAAAAATATATACCACTAACTGACACTTATCAGTATTCAGAACTCAAGCATTAGATAGAACTCAAAAATGCACACTTCTACCAAATCAAATCTTTGATCAAAAGATAAAAATAGACTGAATTTCCTCTTTACACATCTCTTTTTTTAAAGACATAGGGAAATGTCTCCATACATATTTTCCTCATCCTCAAGTGCACAGCAAGATTTCATATTCAATGCATACAGCCTAGGTTATAAATGCCTGATCTTCCTTCTCTTGTGTCAGTCACAAAACTGAAAAATTTGCCTGTCTGAAAGTGAACAAATACTTCCAAACACTAGTCCTTGTTGAGAAAACAGCTTGATCCCCTTGAGCGCCTTGTACACCAATGTCCCTTCAGAGAGCTGCACTCTGTCTTGATAAGTTCTTTGGATCTTTACTTGGGACACACCAGTCATCTGCCTCTGAGGTAGCTTGATAATGCTTACAAGCAGATTTGTTAAAAACGGGAAGTTTTTCTATTGAGTCCGTTGATAGTGCCTAAAATTAAGAAGGAGAAAAGTTACTCATTTTCTGCCTCCCAATTTTGCAAAAATACATGCAATATTCACAATAGGGAATGACTTTTTACTTCTAAATATGAGTCAGAATCCTTTCTGGTATTTCATTGTCAAAATGAGAGCTTTTCAATTGATGAGCAGAAAACCTGTTTTCCTTAAAATGATACCAAAGTAGTTACCTCACTGCATTACTGCTAGTTATCCAAACACATACCTTCAAGTAGATAATAGCATCTGTTCCATAACCAGGTATGGAGTAGAGATTTAGGTCTCCTTGGAAGTATTTAGCATACAGACGAGATATTGGCAAGCCATAGCCAAACCCAGCCTAAAACACAAAGTACAACATAAAATGAAGATTTTTTTTCTTCCCCACTAGCTCCTATGATATAAAGTTAGATAACTGAAAAGTGTTCAGAAATTTTAAACTGTTAAAAAGCCTCTGCATTTCCTCTTCCCTTTAAAGAGAACAAAATTCTGACAAGTTTCATAAAGAATATGAAATGTTAAATGTTAGATTCTGAAAGACCTTTTAAATCTCATCTCCATGGAGAAGTAAAGGAATTATTACTTTAATGCATTAAAATTCTTTATTTTCCCCTCCCATTTTTTTTCCTAAGATTTGTTTAGTAGAAGTTGATTACTACTAGGAAAATAAAAAAAAAGTATTCTAAAGCCTGTCTTAGTTGCGTTTGTTTCCATAAAATATTTATAATAATATTTGAGGACTGAGTGGGAGTGGAAACCAGCTAAATTACTGTCACTGGAGCAAGAGAGGTTGAGGGGGAAAGAGATTCAGTTGCTAAAATTCTTCTTTGTTTTTACCTTGAAAGGAGATGTTTTTGTCAGCTAAGCTAAACACTGAAAACCATTTCAGAAACTGTTAATTAATACATCTAAGGCTTAATAACCTCTGTATACACTACACAGCAGAAAGCTGGACATCATGTTTCATTACTTAAGATTAATCTATTAATCTACGCAATAATTATATAATCTTATTAGAAATACAGGTATTGAAATGATCTTACAAGAGGAGTTTGTCGAGCATCATCCATCCTTGGCCTTGGTGCTGTAGAATACATATAGCTGAACAGCTGTTCAATTTTCCTTACTGGAACACCACCTCCTCTGTCAGAGATCTGATTTAAGAGAGAATAAATCTAACTGCAATCAAATACTAAAAATAAAGTATTTAAAACACTAGGATCTGAGCAAATCCTTCCATTATTGCAGACATGTTTGTAGTGTATTGTTTGTCAGCTAGGTAATTGCTCTAGATGGAAGTCATCAACAGAAAGCTCATGCATAGTAACTTTGACCTGTCGTTGAAGTCGTCAAGTTCTTTAACAGTATTTGCTGCAGTGTAAGAAATTATAAAAAGTTACACTAAGCACATACTGGTTTTGGCCAATAAATTACCTTAATTGCGAGGTCTTCATGTCCAAGAACAACTGTCACTTCAACAGGAGAAAGGGAAGGACTGTTTTCTTGAAATTCAACTGTTGCCCTCATTGAATTCTATAGAAATTAAGGTTATTATTATCAAAAAGTGCTGGATATATCTACTTAAAAGCACATTGCTGTTATGCAGAAGCTGAGCACAGTTACCAACCTTTCCTATCATGTCCAGCTTTCAAGAGCACACTTAGCAATTTCACATAACAAGCACAGGCAGCTGTGTACGTAAAAGTGACTAAACAGTGCAGCCTGAAGCATGATTGAAAGATTACATTGTTTTTACCTCCCAATGCAAATAAAAAAGTAATTTCATTAAAGCCAGCAGAATTCTGGACAAGAGTTCAGCAGTTGCTAACAACTCCCAGAATTCTGCATCCCATGTTGGCTGCCCACAAGTTCAGCCCCATTCATTATCTCTCAAGATACTTTAATTCACAAGCACTGGGGTGAAAAGTCACTAAGGACTAATTTTTAAGGGTAGAGGGATACCAATGGTCACAAGTCCAGTTTAAACATTTAGAAGGCCCAGCTCTCTCTCTCTCTCTCTCTCACTCCCCCTTAGCCTGCCCCAGTTATAACCACATAAGAATGTCCAAATATTTTCCTACTAGCTGCAATCATTCCTCTCCCAACTGCCAAAGCTATTTCCCCATGTAACAACTTCTTAGAAATCTCACCATCCTATACAAAACTTTAATCCAATCAGACCTAACAGAATTTATATATTTAAGCTCTTTCTCAGAATACTGCAGAAGGAAACAGCTTGTATTTACTTACCTTAAAGAGCTCAAAAAGCATGTGAAAGAGATGAGATGGAACATACACGATGTTAATTGGCTCTCCTGGAAGTTTTCCTGCGAGGGAAAAAAAACCAAGAACTGTTTTCTTTCTCAATTTTATTGTAAGCGAGTTATATGTTTAAACAAATATGAAAATACATCATGCTTTCTAAATGAACAGCTTGATGTATTTGCACAGTGTTTGAATTGTAATTGCCATTTGCTTAATCACAGTTCATTTTCAAACAAACAGAAATGATTAGCAGTGGTTGAGCAGACTGCCCAAGACCAGAGAAGAACATCAGGCAGCCTGAACTAGAACTGATATTTCTGTCAGTAGCCTCACTTCTATCTACCTCAGAAACAGCACTCTTGGGCAACTTAAGAACAGAGTAGTAGTCATCCTTCCTCAAATTCTAATAAATTACCTCAGAAAATCTAGTATTTAAGATGCAATGACATCTGAGTTCTATGAGGGGAAAGTAAATGAAGTGCCTGTAAAGGCAAATGAAGAGAACTAGCACAAACTAGATGGACTTGCATGTACCATTATGGTACGTGTATGTACCATTATTGCTACAGAAATTGAAACCTTCAGAGTAGACAAAGTGATCTGGTTACCAATAGGAAGAAAGACATAAAAGTCCCTAACTTACCATTCACTTCAGTAAGCTTCAGTTCTGGAGATGTTAAATAATACTGGTCACATAGCATCTTGGAACTTTCAAAAGCATCTGAAATATTTGTTTGAATAAAATAAGCAAAATGAAATATCACAGCACAGCAATTCATTCTAATGCATGGAAAAAAAAATTCTAACTGCACTAGCTGCCAGGGTGTTTACAGACTGAGCGTGTGTTTCACAGAGGATAATGGTACAGCCACTGCATGTATCAGAAACTGAGATTAAATAGGCAATCACAGCAGCATGGGCAAATCTTGAGTAAAATCTGATAATTCGGTAAAACAGATGCATCTAGGGTATAATTATCTAACAGTAGATGTTACTGATGTCATCACTGACAACTTTAACTCCCACCTCATTTATCACTTGCTATTCAGACACATTTTATTGCTATTTTATATATTTTTTTTCTGTTCTATAGAAGCAAACATTTTAGCTGTTTTCAGACACTCCATTAAAAAAATACCCAAAACTATCAACACCCTATACAAACATGTGTTGGTTGCCTGTTAATTCCTAGCAAGCACTGATCACGAAGACAGTTTATGTTGTGAGAATATACATACCATTCACAACTTCAACAACATCACAGCATGGATCAATACTCCCAATGTGCCTTGGGTGACCTGAGCCCGCGTTGTTATCAAAAAGAAGGGCTGTTTGAGATAAAGAAAATACTGTATTTAATATACTGTATTATGAAAAACTAGTGCAAACTAACATGGCGAGATCGCAACACATAAGCATAAATAATACTCAGCATCTCTTATGGTTTGTTCAAGTTACAAATGCTATCTGCTGCCTGCAGGCTATGCTGGCTTCCCTGGATCAACATCCAAAGGCTTTTCAAAAAACAGAGAACTCTGTTTTCCATGGAAGACTTACTACAGTTAGTAAGATAACCGATTTTCTTTTACTTTAAAAATGCATGTTTTGTTTCTAGCTTTTCACTGTCACACAATCATCTGAAGCAGACCTGCGACAGCTTTAGGAGAAGTTTACTCTAACATGCTTCTCATGAAGTTGAATTTTTTCCTCAGATAAGAATTTCTACTTACTGTGTTGGTTCATCAGCATCCGGGTAGAAATACGGCTCATGTAAAAACGATCCAAAAAGTACTGGATATTTTGATTGGTGACCGGATCTACCTTAAAAGTATCTTTGTACTCAATTACTCCTTGCGCCATTGCAGGAACCACATCATGATGTCTGTTTCGGACTCTAATTAATGTTTCTATAAAGCTAGATCAAAAAGAGGTCTCTTTAGAGCATTATTCGGAGACAAGGCAAGATTTGTACAAAATGATATACTCCAGCAACAGAAGTGACTGTACAGAGTATCTTTAATATTAAAATACTTTTGAAAGTTTTTTTTTAAAAAAAAACTACTTTGTCACTGATATAAAGCAGAAGAATTTGATATTTTTATCTAAAAAGCTGTGTTTATTAGTCATGTCCAATTCACTTTCCATTTATTCACTTCTAATAGCCTCAGTAGAGGAGAATGTGAGAAGGAGGAAGACTTCCAGTTCACACTTTAAAAACAAGCAGGGATGACCTGACATCACAGGTAGTTTTGGTTGGTATTTCTCTGTCATAACAGCTTATGGTACTGCCTCCAAAAGCAAGTCCCAACAGGTCATACTTATTTGCACTGTTACTACAATATAATCAAAGATTTCACCTAAGTGCAACATTTCCCGACAGATGATCAAATTGAGCCAACAACAGTGCTGTCATTCTAAATTGATTACATTTGGAATAATTCAAGATGAAAAGCTGAATGAAAACTAAGGATAAGCTTACTCGTGTAAGACTTTTTGGTCATCTGGGTTTTTCTGATGGAATTCAACCAGCTCCATTAGGCTTTGGATGTACCTATTGAAAAAGAATACAGGAAATACAATGCTGTTCATTAGATTGTTATTAGTCTAGGAGATGAAAAAAAAGATGTTGTCTTTTCCTAATCATTACTCTTAACAAGTCGGCTAAAAACTTAAAGTATCAAAGTTCCACTGAGGTATGGAATCATGCATAGTTATTTCTTGAACACCTGAATGTGGAAGGTTTTAAATGACTTTTTCTTTCTTGTGCCTGCCACCCAGTCTGGAATCCAAAACCTTTAGAGATCCAGGCTCCCTGTATAGTTCTTGGGAAAAGTGAGGTGTTTCAGAAGTATTGATCGGGAAGCCACCTAAGCAAAAATTATTCTGATCTTGATCAGCTTGGCACAAGTTAAGCACTTGAGCCTCTTTGTCCAGTCAAGCCAGGACAAAGCTCTGACATAGTCACGTTTTGCAAAGGCACATCTATAGCTTGGTGGATTAAGAACAGCTTCTGGATCTCACCCAAATACTTTTTGTCCTTTATGTCAGGGATCCTCCCCAACACTGCAGCTGTGCCAGTAACGCAAGGTTAACTCATATTCGACCACTGTCAGTAACCAGAGAGATCGTGTAAACTGAATTCCAAACATCCAGTACATATGACAAGGCAATATGCTGCAGGCTGGAACTGTATTAATAAACTTCATCAGTGAGAGAATCAAACAAGTGTGTAGTCTGTTCTCCTATTTTGTGGCAGCTTTGCAGATGTTCAGTA